GAGAGATGGAGTTATAGGTATGACAGACAGTTAAAGCAAAGGCACAGAGATGGGAGTTATCTGATGAACAGTAAAGGAATCCAGTTGGCTGGAATGTAGGGTGCATGTAGGAGAGTAATGTATAACAAAGCAGGAGAAATAGATAGCAGCCAGGTTTTGAATGGTTTTAAATGCCAGAAATACAAAAAAAAAAGAGTTTCTTTTTAATGCTAGAAGTAGCAAGGAGCCTTAGAATCTATTGAGCAAAGGAGTGACGTGATCAGGCTTAAAATTTAGGAAAATCACTTTGGCAGCTTTGAGGAAAATGGATTAGAAAAGAAAGAGACTCGAAGCAGGTAGACCAATTAGGAGGCTATTACAGTAATCCGAGAGAGATGATGAGGACTTGAACTAGGGTGGTAGCCATGTGAATTAAAAGAGGCAGATTCTAGAAATGTTGTTGAAGGTTGAATCGGCAAGACTTGGCAGCTAACTGGATATGGAAAGTGAGGAGAGACTGAAGAGTGGAGGATGACACCAATATTGTGAACTTTGATAACTGCAAAGATAGTGATTCCCTTTGACAGAAATACATTGGAAGAGGGATGTGTTTGGGGGAAAAGATGAGTTCTGTTTTGGAAATAGTGCGTTTGAGATGTTTACAAGACATCTCGTTTGAAATGTCCACTATGCAGTTGGTGATACAAGACCAGAGCTTGAGAGAAAGACAAGGACTGGATATATAGATATGGGTATCATATACATAGAGATGGGGAAACTGATTAGGTCACCAGAGGAGAGAGTTTAGACAATGAAGAGAAGAGGACCAAGGCTGAACTTTGGGGGATACTCACTCTGAGTGGAAATAGCATAGATGAAGAGTCAGCAAAGGAGACTGAGAATGAGTGTTCAGACAGGTAGAAGGAAAACTTAAAATGAGCAATGTCCTAAACCCCAGAAAGGAGAGAGTATCCAGGAGAGTGGTAAGTCATTAGTATCAAATGTTGCCAAGAGGCCAATAAAGATGATGATTGGGAAGAGGCCATTGGATTTGGAAATTAAGAGATCATTGGTAACTTTAGAAAGCAGTTTCAGTTGAATGATAAGTTTGGAAGCCAGATTTTACAAGGAGTTGATGAATGAGGTAGAGAAAAGTAGAGGCAATAAGAGTAAACACCTTTTTTTTTTCCTAGGAGTTTGGCTGTGAAAAGAAGGAGACAGATAAGATGATAGATAATTTGAGGGGATGGTAGGGTCAAGTAGGGTTTTTCTCAAAGTTGGGGAGAATTAAGCATGTTTGTAGGTAGCAGGAAAAGAACCAGTTAATAGGATAAGAGTGAGGATTAGAGAGAGGTGGAAAAAGAGTTCATGGGATCAAGCATTCATATAGAAGGGTTAATGTTGGTATCTTTATCAGTTATTATAAGTATGTGTGACTTATAATGACATTTTCCAGGTGTTGCTGTGTGCAAATGACATTGTACTGATTGCACGAAGCCCTATGATACTAGCATAGCCTTTAGAGTGCTCTCCATGACCATGCAAAAGAATTTGGGCTAATTCTTCTCATAGGGAAAAAAGTGACTAAAGTATGCATAATGTCCAGACTAAGACATGTAGATAGTTGGATGGACAGTCCATTGGGTTTATCCATAAGTAACTATAGCCTGAATAAGTACTCCAGATGGACCTAGGTCCAGAATTGAAGGGAAGATAGTGGACTGGATTGCACTGGGGAAACTACACAGCACTTTCAGTGATCCCAAATTGTTCACTGATAGAGAAGAATATCTTTTCAACACCAATATTTTATCAGTGTATCATGGAATGCTACATTCTCCAGAAAATCCAAGTTGGCGGTGACCTAGGGGCAGCAGAAAGATGTATGTTGGGAATAGGTAATTGAACAGCCTATTTCAAATGATAACTTGCACACAAGAACTATCCAGGAGATGTATAATCGGGAAAGGCAGGCCAGTCTTGTAGTGAGAGTGACGGTTAACAGCCCGAGTGCCATACTGTAACACACAGAATGTTAAAGGCCCTAGAGGGAGGCCTCCAACATATTGCATAGTTCTTCTATAGAGCATTTAGTTGGAGGACAGGAGGATGAGATGTGGATAATTGTGATATTTCCCATTAGGAGTATCTGTGTTGTTGAGATCATAAATCCATTGAAGTATTATCATTGCTCTCTTTCCTTAAGTCTCTCCTTTATTTTTACCATTAAGGTTTCTTTTGATTTTCTGAGTTTGCATGGAATCATTTAATCATTTTTTATCATTTTATCTTCTAGTTGTATGCTACTAATATCTAGGCATGCAATTTATTTTTGTGACTTTATTTTAACTTTGGTTACAAAATACTGATAGCTGTTGTCATTCTGGGATTTGTCTATTTTTGTTTACAGGGAATGACTAGTGCTCCAGTAGTTATGATAGCTTATGGTTTAAAATATGTCTGCTTAGAAAAATATCCATATTGATGCGGGGGTTTTTTTGGCTAGATGCTTTCTCATATATTAAAATCATGATTCTTAATATTTTTCTCATTAATGTGATGAATTATGTTGATACTCTTCCTTCCTTCTAGCTTTACCTATTTCCAAGGAGAAATAAACCCAATTTAGTCTCTATAGAGATTTGTTTCAGGTAATAGATTATATTTGTCAAGATCTTCTTTAAAAGTTCTATATCTAGGGCAGCTAGATGGTGCAGCTAGGTGGCGTGGTGGATAGAGCTCTGGCCTTGGAGTCAGGAGGACCTGAGTTCAAATGCGGGTTCAGACACTTGACACTTACTAGCAATGTGACCCTGGGCAAGTCACTTAACCCCAATTGCCTCACCAAAAAGCAAAACCAAAAGAAGTTCTGTATCTCTTCTCATAAATGTTCTATAACATATTGCTTATTTGTTATGGTCCTCATCACATTTTGGAATTAAAACTGTATTTGCCTGTTAAGAAGATTTTTTTCTATATTTTAGAATAGTTAATATAGGATAAGGATCATTTCTTTGAAAGTTTTGGAAACATTCTTCAGTGAATACAGTGAGCCCAGGTACCTTTCTCATCCTTATCCCCACTCCACTCCACCAACCATATAATTCTTCAAAGAGTTTTCTTATTTCTCCCTGTTGAGACAGTTTGGGCATTTTATGTTTTTGTAGATAATCTATTTTCTCTTGATTATTCTGTTTGTTTTTGAGCAGGCCCATAAGTGCATTGATATGGGGAACTTATTTGAACAATGCAGATCGGCATCTGCTCTTCAGTGTATAATCTTAGAGAGACTCTTATGTGAGTTGTGTAAGTCGTTAAAAGCTTAAGTAACTTGCCCAGGGTCACACAGGCAGCATGATTCAGAAGCAGGACATTTTTATTATCTCCTTCTTTCTTGATTTTACATTTAAGTGGCCTGATTTATCAGTTGTATTATTTCTCCATCTTCTATATTTCTCATATGTTTTAGTAAAAATAAAAGACAAAAGACCATAAGAACAAATCTAATGTTTTCAACCAAATTTCCACAAAGTCCAGCTTTATTTTCATTTTTAAAAGATTCTTACTTTTAGCCCAAGTGGTAGAGAGAAAGTAGAACTTTCCCACTTCTATTCAAATGCCTCATTGTGGCATGGAAGGACCCTGAGTTCATGAGGTCTTTGCCATGTTCTTCCAAGCTGGAAAGGTTTTAAGTGAGGAACTAGTTAAAAACTGTATATTTGTCATCACCAGAGAGACCACTAGCCAGTGAAGGCTTGGATTTCTTTATTAACAGCAACTGATGGAGAGGCATTGCAGTCTGAAGTGAGGGAGTGCATACATATGCTGATGAAATCACAGATATATTAAAGAATAAGTAATTTTCAATCATGTCTTTTCTACATTCCTTAATATTTTGATGTTCATTTCATCCATTTTGGGCATTGGGTTAAATTTTAAAAATCACTCCAGGTTCACAGGACAAAGGTTATAAAACAACCACCTTATATTTCTGAAAGTACACTTTTACTAAATAAGCAAGTTTGCAAAAAACACCTGCAAATGGCTGCCCAGTATTTTTGTCCAAAGGGAAATGGAAATTAACACCCTTACTCTCTGTCAAGGTATTGATTGGCAGATCCGACCACCTTTGTCAGGACTTCCTGCCCTTGAAAAGGTCCTTCCCAACAAGGAGTTCCATTTTAACACTTCCATAGCCAACTTGGTCATCCTTCGTGGTAAAGATGTACACAGTGCAGACCTTGGTAAGCAAAAATCATGGTGAAAATGAAGTGCTGCTGGTAAAGAGGATGAATATAAACCAACCCAAAGCTTTTTTTTGGGGGGGAAGGGGGTGGTAACCAGGCTGGAGGGATGGAGGAACAGGAAAGTAACCAGTGTTTGTTTCGGTGGCATGGTGGAGTTAGTGCATTTGGCTCAAAGTATTCTGAAGATTTGGCTTTATAGAGCAGCTACTGCTGTTGGCTGTCAGCTCCCTGGCTGGTTTCTTGTTTCAGTTCTGATTTGATGAGTTCAGCAGTAGTAAATTGGCCAGTCCATGCACTTATATAAAAGAGCCAAGCAAGCTCTGTAATAAGCCTTCTATAAAAAAAAAGAGGGGGCAGGGAGGTCACTTAAGTACAACACAACTGTGTATTCTCCTATTACTCTTCATATTGACTTAAGAATAAATCAGAGATTTTTTGGTACATGTAAAACTGATTAGAAAAGAGAAGATTATTAAATTTATCTTGAAAATTAAGAAAAATTCATCAGGCAGCTAGGTGGTGCAGTGGATAGAGGACTGGCCTTGTTGTCAGGAGGACCCAAGTTCAAATTTGGCCTCAGATACTTCCTAGCTGTGTGACCCTTCGCAAATCACTTAACCCTGATAGGGAGGGAGGAAGGAAGGAAGGAAGGAAGGAAGGAAGGAAGGAAGGAAGGAAGGAAGGAAGGAAGGAAGGAAGGAAGGAAGGAAGGAAGGAAGGAAGGAAATTAAGAAATAATGCCTGAGAGAATAACTTGTGCTATTTCCTCCAAAGGGGGTTTTAAAGATCCAGCCTTATATACCTCATGGCTCCAGCCTAGTGATGCCTTCAGTGAATGGAGAACACACCGAGCCTTTAACAAATATGAGAAATTGGCTGCTTTGGTTAGCAATAGTCAATTTTTACTAAAACCACTTGATACCATCATAGGCAAAGCCTGGAACATGTTTGCTTCAAAGTAAGTAAAATAAGCTTAAAATAACATATTGGCAACTTAATTACAGCCTGCGATTCTTTGCCATAGTAATCACAGTGTGTAGTCTATGTGTTTTTGAAGGTCACTAATCATACCCACATACACCCAAGGATTTCCAAAGGTTAGCTGTGTCACCACTACCTGGTGGTGGAAGAACATCTTTAGGTAGTGAATGGCAGGACTGGTACACTAAAACATGGAGACCCATAGGGCTAAAGTTAACCCCTAAATCCTCCCTTCATCCTGCCATGGAAAGGCCAAACACCATCCCTTTTCGCATGTTGCGATTTCTGTGACTTCTTTACAGTTACCCTGTATACATCATTTTAGCCTGATGTCACCCAAGTAAAAAAAAAGGTCATAGATTATGGAGCATGTTTGGGGGTTTTGGGTTTTTTTTGTCCTGGCCCCCATACCTCAGTAGTTGGGGTTCTCAATTTTTACCAGTAACTAGGGTGGATGTGGGTGTTTAATAGGGTGTATCCATAGTCCAAAATGCTATCCTCCGGCATTTGGAGACTCATAGACACTATGTAGACTTTAAGTTATAGCCATCAATTTCATGGATATACGTGCGTGTGTGTTCAGGGCGTTTGTGTGAGTAAAAAGAAAAATAATGAAAATTGTATGGAGTCTCTACTTAAAAATGAAACCAGAGAAAAAAACTCCCTGTTTTTATTTGTAACTATGGTTGAAATTATATACGTAGAAAAATTGGATAAACAGATTGTTGGTTTTTCATTTAAATCAGATAGTATTTGATTTCTTCTACATTATGTTTTTCTTTTCCTTTAAAGGATATCATCCAAGTGTGAAAAGAAACTTAGTGACTTTTCCACCTTCCCCAACCCATCAACCTCCCAAGTTCCAAAATGATTGGGAGACATAAACTAGCTTTTCTTATGCACTTATTATATCAGTTTAGTATAAGTATACCTTGTTTTTATGCCATAACTCTATTTCTGAAAAAGTATATGTGAATTGAATATTTATTTTCAAAATACTTGGAAAGCTTGCTATTGAAAGGTATCTCTTCAACATTAATAATGCTAATCTCTAATTTCCTTTACTTATCTAAACTCATTTAACAATCATTGATAGCCTGTGGCACATGCCTGGCTGCCCCTTCCACACCTGCCTCCTCTTTAGGGGAAGAAGCAGCTGTTGGTAATAACAGATAGAATGCTGAGCTTTGAGTCAGGAAGACCTGAGTTCAAATGTAGCTTCAAATACGAACTAGCTGTGTGATTTTGAACAAGACACTTAACCTTTTTCTGCCTCAGTTTCCTTACAGGATTATATGCTTATTTCCTTTCCTTCCTTCTAGTTGGCATTGTAACATTCTTCTGGAATGCTAGGACTTTGGCCTACAACTTTGCAATTACTAATGTTCAGAAGGAAAAAAAAGCACATATTATAGCCCAATTTTGAATTATAATATGCTCAAATTCTGTATTTAACATATTTTTTCCCTATTTTTCTACCAGAGCCTATGTTCACCAGTATACAAAATTTGGAATTGAAGAGGAGGACTTTTTAGACAGCTTCACAGTATTGGAACAGGTTGTTGCCAGTTACTGTAATCTTTGATCTCAAAATAAATGGGTTTTCAGTGGAAGAAAGTATCTCTGAAGACTTCTGGATTGAAATACTTATAAACCATGTTCTCTATCACGTTTCAAAATCCTATTTTGCTAAAGAATCAAATTAGAATTCAGATTGTATTCTGTAAATAGGGGAAAGTAAGAACCTTTTTACCAAAGAAAAACTTTTTTTTCCAATGAAAACATCTCCTTTTTGATGAATTACATTACTTTAAAAGGAAAATTGATGCTTTTATAAAATACTTTGGTGAAGAATTGTCACAGTGGGTGCCGTTATAAATAGTATTTTGATTCTAAAAATTACTAGGAAAAAGTATATTCTATCTTTGTTGACAATTAAAGTAATCTCTTTCAACTACTATCTTGTCCTGGAACCTTTACTATTTAGTCAAAAACATTTACTAAACCTGAACCTGCCTAATGACAATGCTGGCCATTTAATTATGCTTAAACTGGAATTCTAGAATCAAAAGGTAATCTCTTGAGTTAATGAACACTCTATGCCACAGGAGGGCACTGTTGTCCAATGCCTTAATCACATATCTGCAGGCTTACTTAAATTTTTCATGTAAGTGGATCAGATTAAAACTTGTGTTTCAAAATAAATTTTAGAATTATAACAACTGAATATTAGCCTAAAATACAAAAAGGCAATGGGTGACTGCTTCCTTTATTTTCACAGGGCTTTCTTTTTCTTAAAAACTTATAGTTATTGAAGAATCTGATCGAGTCTTTTCAGTTTTCATTATAAAATCCCGCTTTGATAACCATTGGAAGAGTATTTGAGTGGGAGAGAGAGGGTCCAAAACAATTTTAATTTAGTCTAGTCAGTGCTTTGAAATTAATGTTGACATATTAGACTGAAATATTGTTTATGCTCTCTTTACACCCCCCCCACACATACACATACACACACACACACACACACACACACACACACACACACACACACACACACACCCCCAATGCCTCATATAAACCCTTATTTTCCTTTCAAAGAGATATCATTTTAGGGGAGTGGCCTATGTTTTTCTGAATACAGTAGATACTTCAGTCAAATGTCAGATTGCTGTAGATAGAAACTGACTTTGCATTTAAATAGAAGTTAGGAACTGACTTTCCCCTCTCTACCAAAGTGTTGGCAAAATAACCCTTTGCCATTTAATTGGAGAAAAATATTGTATCTTAGTAAATGTAAGGTAACAGATCAAACAAAACAGACCAGCATTAAGTAGTTGAAGATAAAGCAGACTTGAAAACTAGCAGCTGTCTTGGAAAGGGAATGATATATCTAAAAAGCACGTTATATATGGTACATTGAGAAATGTACAGTGAAACCCACATAGGAAAATTCACCCTTTCTGCCAAATCTACCAGTAGCCACTTTTTATTTGACTAAATGACAGTATACTGTTTGACTAGTTTCTTCCTTTTCTTTCCATATGGAAACAATTACCTTTTTTGCTGTTTTTCTTATCAACTGTTGCTATGATTAAAAATATTGAACTATATCTTATTTCTAAAGAATGCAAAGAGTGGTCTGTACAACTGCTAATTTTTAAAAGACACACCCCACGGCTGCATTGAGTTAACCTCTGTGTATTTTAAGTTTCGTTTTGCAAGACTTAAAATCTAATTTTTTTTAAATGACAGTTAAGCAGTGAAGAGGCTCAAAAACACAAAATAACTTCCCAGACTAAATCAATATTAATGAATATCTACACCTGGTTTTTTTAGCCTGGAATTAACCAATCTCTGTTAAAAGGCAAACTCAAAAAAAAAGCTTTAGGTGACATTGACATTATTTGATGTTTGTGTAAGGTATAGCTAGGGATTTCATACACACACACACACACACACACATACAGAAAATGGATCTTACCGTTGTACTTGGAAAATAGGGCTGGTATTAATATGTAAATTTTCTTTTCCATCATTAATACATTGATTCCAACTTTAACAAAAGACTAATTGTAGTTTGGTGATTTGAATTTGTGTATCTTAGGGAGAGGTCAGGTTAAGTTTTATAATTTAACTTTAGTCAAAGTTCCCTACTTATATGAAGATGACTTGGAGAGTATCAAATTTACCATCTTCTATATTCCAGAGCTGCTTTATTCTTTATGTATAATACCCAAGAGACTTGCTGATCTCTGATATATTAAATTAGGAAATAAGGTGAAATGTCATCTACTACCTTTGGAATGTTAGTGTAGAGCTATAATTGTTAATTAAAAAAAAAAACTTGGGGCAGCTAGGTAGCACAATGGATAGAGAACTGGCTCTGGAGTCAGGAGGACCTGAGTTCAAATTTGGCCTCAGACACATAACACATACTAGCTGTATGACCCTGGGCAAGTCACTTAACCCCGATTGCCTCACCAAAAAAAAGAAAAACAGCTTAAGGAAATCAAGTCTAGAGCACAAAGGATTGATCTCCCTGAAGCAATTCAATTTGATCTTTGTAGATAAAATAATAAATCTGTTAGGAATCAGGGGATTCTGAAGAAATAGGGAAATGATGTTTAAATCCCTATTCAGCTTTAACATTGTCATAGAAAAACTCAAATATGAGGTAAATACTAAAATACCCTTTCCCAGGTTGCCGCTTCAAACTTACTTATCTAAAGATTTTCACCATTCTGCCCCAACCTGACTGGTCCTGATTTCTAGTGTTACTAATACCTCTAATCGAAATGCACAGTGTTTCTACCTAAATCAATCCTACTTTTATGCATTTTTTACACTATCCTGCCTGCCTGGAATAATCTGCCCCACTATGACTTCTGGCAATCAATAATAAGTAGCAAGGTTATAATGTATGGCATCCCACTCCATGTTTTGTAATTATTCAACTTGCCCAAGTAAACTCAATTTTTCCTCAGGTAAGACTCCTTTCAGCTATATGATTCAATGCTCCTGATCTCATTTATGCATCATACATCACATGCATCTTAAGGGCTGAATTATGATAGCTTTTTTCTTCCCAAATCTAAAGTTTACTAAGAACCTTTTCTCCATATAAAGATGAGTATGAATAATCAAAATTAAGGGATTGATTTGAATTATTTCCAGATTTTGTTTTCAATTTACATCTGGACTGTAGACCATGTCTGTTTTATCTCCTGAAAAAACTCAGTCCTGACCACCATATTTATCACACTTGAACTTCTGTAAAAATCTGCCTTTAGACTTTTTCCATGTATTCTTGTCTACTTTTTCCCTCTGTTAATACGAGCTTTAAGCACCCGTTGTCTTTTTTTTTTTTTCCTCTTGGCAGTTGGGGTTAAGTGACTTGTAGGTCACGCTGCTAGTAAGTGTTAAGTGTTTGGTCTGAGGCCGGATTTGAACTCAGGTCCTCCTGACTCCAAGGCCAGTGCTCTATACACTGTACCACCTAGCTGCCCCAGCCACTGTCTTTCTTCTGGCACAAGGGATCCTATCTGGCTTACTGATGAAATTGGGATTTCAGTCACACACAGGTCTGTTTTGAGAAAGTGTTCAATTCCCTAAGATATATTTGAAATCACAAGGGTGCGGGATAAAAGATTTCTTATTTTTAAGTGCTCTTCTGTAATTTCTTAGATGATGCAATATTAACCTTATTTATTATGGCTATTACAGACTGAATCAGAACTTTTCCAACAGCAGGAAGGATTGCACAAGAGGTTAAAACAAACAATGCAAATGTTTCTAGTTTCTAGGGAACTCAGTACAGAAGACAGTATGGCCTCCAAGATATGGAAAAGAGACAGAATAAAGAAGGGAAAGCCTGATTCTTTTAGAGAGCCAGTGAGGCAATAAGATAACAACAGAACTGCTCATGACTAAAGAGGATTCCAGGAACAGACTGCTAGTTTTTTTAATCATACCAGGAATTTAGGACACTTATTAAGTTTTTTTTTCTTGAAATGTTGTTTTCTCAAGAAGGAAACAGTGAGCTGGATTGCTTTCAGCAACTAATAAGTTATCCACTGATCCCCATTATGTCAAAGTAATACCTCCAGAAAAATCTAAACTCTCTTTGGGTGACTATTTTGTCTTCGTATCTGCTGCACCAAACACACTGTAGATACTTAATAAATGTTTGTTGAGTTGAAATGAATCAAATGGACTATTGCCTGTGGTGGAGCAAACATGATACCAAATGGCCTTTCCCTGTTTTAATTTATCTAAATTTCCATAGCAAGTAAACAAAGATTCTAGATGTTTGGGGGCAAGGTCTTGGGAATTATTGAGTCTGTGGCCAGACAAAGCAGCCTGTCTCTACTAGAAGACAAGTCATAGCAACATAATATTAGAACACATGCCATAAAGCAAAATATGGGTATTTCCTTCATGAAAGGGTAAGTCAGATTTATGTGGTCAGTGGGAATGAGACAGGATGTAAGTTCCAAAGGATGAATAACTAATGAGCTGCTTGAAATGATAGAAGCAGATGACAAAGCATGAGTGTTAGGAGCACAAAGATCCCACGTGGGCAAAGCAGAATACCCTCATGTATTTAGTTAAAGTCTGAGAAGACAACATTGGATCCATGATTTCATCGTGTCCATTTTCTGGTGTGACCTAACTCATTCACACCACCTCATCTTGTGCTGTTCCTGTATGTATTTTCCATAAGCCTTCCAAAGAAATTTTACCCACTGTGCTGGACATTGAGTAGGTCCCGGTGCAGCACCTTTGGCCAACCATTTGTTACCTCCTCATTTGTACCACATAGTTAGCCCACCTCCTTCTCTGGACGTACATTTTTTTCCTTTATGATATCCAGATCTGAAACCTAGGGATCTGAAAATACAGAAATGAAATTACACAAGGCTTGATCTCAAATGTAAATAACAAAATTTGTAATGAAAAAAAAAGTACTAAGCACCCCTATCCTCCAAAACAGGCCTGAAGGATAATCAGTCCACATTTTTAAAAAGGGGGAAGGACAGCATGAACCTCCGATATACTCCCGTGAGGCCACCTCTGCCCAAGAACCCCCAGAACCTTAGAGTCTCAGCCATTACTATTACTACCTGGAGATATGCTCAGTTCAAGGTGCAAAGAAATAGGGTAAGTAAGCAAGAAGAAGGTAAGAAGGGCAAAGACTTTCATTTTGGTCCAGTAGAACCAAAAGGTTCTGGATATAACCTCAAAGAACACCCCACGCACTCTAGAGTCAAGAGCCACAGAAGATAGAAAAGCAGAGACTTAACTATGGAGTATTGTCTTCAAAGAGTGTGAATGGACTAGGAAGAAAAATACAACTTCAAACGATATATCTGAAAAGTAAGAGAAATACGTATTAAAGGACTATGTTACATCTCCCTGCAGACACCAGATACCTTTTATTATGATCATCTCTAGACTGAGTCTTGACGTTTTAAGTCATAGCATTGAGGAAGAAACGGCATTGGAAATCAATTTTGGTCTTAATGTCATCACTTCTATCCCAGGGAATTTTTCAGCTTCCTTTCTGCTTTTCTTCTGAAAACATGCAAGACAAGGTATCACCACAAATGCAAATCATCATGCCAGGACAGAGTCATCAAAACCTGCACACAAACTTTTACTTAACTAGACAGATGTATTTGCCTAAGTGTAGGACACTCAAATTTTTCAAGTCTCTACTGTGTGGTTATCATACAAGTAAGCCTCCCCTTCTGAGCTCTGGTACTGCTGGTAAATGGAGTAATTGTGGTCACATGGCATCATTTAATCAGTGTGTCTGACCAGCCAACCTTAAAAACCAAGAGATCATTTAGTGAAGCAATGAACCTAGCACCAAAGGAAGTCAAATAGCCAAATGAGAAGCCCCTATTTTTTTCCAGTAAGTTTTATTGATATTTTCTGTTTCTTATATCACCATAGTATCCCTTATGTCCCTTCCTTCCTCCTCCCTAAGAGCTATCCCATATAACAAACAGGATTAAAAAAAAAAGGTACAATTGATCAATACATTGAAAAAGTTCAAAAACATGTGTAACACCTTAGGACCTCCCACCTCCACAAAGAGGTAGGTTGGGGGTGGCTTCTCATCTCTCTTCATTCAAGCTCCATTTGATTTTTAATTTTGTTACATTTACTTTTGATTTTTTGGTGTGTCATTGATCTTTCCATATACACTGTTATGGTTACTGTATATATTGTTTTCCTGGCTCTGCTTACTTCACTATGCATCTTACCATGCTTCTTGTATTCATCATACACATCATTTCTTGCAATACGGTAATATTCCATGATATTTATTTACTACAATTTGTTTAGTCATTCCTCAATTCTTAGCTATCACACAAAAAGTGCCGCTGTAAATATTTTGGAGTATGTGGGGACTTTTTTTCTTAACGATGGCTTCCTTGGGGTATAAGACCAGTGATGGGGCCTCTGGTTCAAAAGGTATGGACATTTACTCACTTTATTTTCATAATTTTAAATTGCATTCCAAAATGGTTATACTATTGCATAGCTCCACTACAATGTATTAGTGTGCCTATCATTCCACAACCCTTCAAACATTAACTGTTGCTATTTTGGGGTCATTTTTGCCTGTTTTCAGGGTGTGAGATGACTCTTTAGGGTTGTTTTGATTTTCATTTCTCTGCATCTATTGGGAGGATCATGTGGTTTGGGATGTTTTGGTTTTTAATATGATTATGTTGATTATTTTCCAAATATTGAACCATCCTTGCGTCCCTGGTATAAATCCCACTTGATCATGATGAATGATTTATTGAATAAATCACCATAGTCTGTTTGATGTGATTTTGCTTAAAAATTTTTGAGTTAATGTTCATTAATGATATTGGCCTATAGTTTTCTTTCCATGATTTATCTTTCCCTGGTTTAGGTTTTAGGACTATATTTGTCTCATAAAAGGATTTTGATAGGGTTCTTCCTTTCTCAGTTGTTGAGAATAATTTCTGAAGTATGGGTACTAACTGTTCTTTAGAAGTTTGATAGAACACTTCCACTTCCAGGAGCCAAGATGGTGGAGTAAAAAAGTCTCTCTTACCCTCCCTCATTGACCTCTGAAAAACCAGAAAATATGAACCCAAGAAAAATCCTGGAACAGCTGAACCAGCAGAAAGATGGGATACAGCAGTCTTGTAGCCCAGGAAGCTTGGGGGATTAACAGGAAAGGCCCCTCTCTGGGGGAGGGGGAGCAGTATAGGACTGGAGGTATCCCAGCAAGCCAGAGGCAAGCCCCACCTCAACATACCAGGGGGAGATCCTGAGACCCAGGTTGGTGGAACAGGTAAGTGCCAACATCAGGACCAGCCTCAATACAGGCAGGGGAACCAATAGACACCAGCTCAGAAAACCACCACAAGCGATGGCATTCTCCAGCAGTGAAATCACCTGGTGCCTCAACACAGCTGGGGGAAGCACAACTCCAGAAGGCAAAGCTCCAGGCTGACAGACATCCACCAGCAGAGAAAAATCCCTGTGCAAGGCCTGGACGAGCAGGAGCCAAACATTCAAGTGCAAGGCCTGGGTGAGCAGGAAAAGAAGTTTGAGTAAATGCTCCCTTCACTCAAGCAGGAGAAGTCAACATTTTTCTTTTAAAAGTCAAGAAATAGGCAAACACCATGAACAAAAAGCAGAAACTGACAATAACCATAGATTCTTATTATGGGAACAGGGAAGATCAAGGCACACATTCAGAAGAGGACAACATTGTCAATATTCCCACATCTGAAACCTGAAAGGGGAATACGAACTGGTCTCAAGCTCAAAAAGCCTTCTTGGAAGAGCTCAAGAAGGATTTTAAAGGTCAAATAAGAGAGGTAGAAGAAAAATTGGGAAAAGAAATGAGAGGTATGCAAGAGAGAGTCAGTAGCTTGGAAAAGGAAGGACAAAAATTAACTTTAGAAAACAATTATTTAAAAAGTAGAATTGGCCCGGCTTCTGGGATAAGAACTCACTATTTGACAAAAACTGCTGGGGAAAACTGGAAAAGAATATGATAGAAACTAGGCATAGACCAAAATCTTATGCCATATACCAAAATAAAATCAAAATGGGTACACAATTTAGATATAAAGGCTGGTACTCTAAGCAAACTGGGAGAGCAAGGCATAGTTTACCTGTCAGATTTATGGAAAACAGGAGAATTTATGACCAAGTAAGAGGTAGAGAACATTATAAAATGCAAAATGGATAATCTGACTACATTAAATTGAAAAGTTTTTACACAAACAAAGCCAATGCAACCAAGATTAGGAGGGAAGCAGAAAACTGGAAAGAATTCTTACAACTAGCATCTGGGATAAAGGCTTCATTTCTAAAATATATAGAGAACTGAGTCAAATTTATAAGAATATGAGTCATTCCCCAATTGATAAATGGTCAAAGGATATGAACAGGCAGTTTTCAGGGGAAGAAACTAAAGCTATCTATAGTAATATGAAAAAATGTTCTAAATCACTATATATATATATATATATATATTTTTTTTTTTTTTTTGGTGAGGCAATTGGGGTTAAATGTCTTGCCTAGGGTCACACAGCTAGTGAGTGTTATGTGTCTGAGGTCAGATTTGAACTCAGGTCCTCCTGCCTCCAGGGCCGGTACACTACCTAGCTGCCCTCCTAAATCACTATTGATTAGAGAAATGCAAATCAAAATGACTCTGAGGTACCACATCACACTTATCAGATTGGCTAACATGACAAAACAGGAAAATGATAAATGTTGGAGAAGATGTAGGAAAACTGGAACACTAACGCATTGTTAGTGGAGTTGTGAAATGATCCAACTATCCTGAAGAGCAATTTGGAACTATGGCCAAAAGTTTATACAACTGTGCATACCCTTTTTTTTGGGGGGGGGGGACGCGGTGTTAGGCAATGGGGTTAAGTAACTTGCCCAAGGTTACACAGCTAGTAAGTATTATGTGTGTGAGGCCGGATTTGAACTCAGGTCCTCCTGACTTCAGGGCCGGTGCTCTATCCACTGCACTACCTAGCTGCCCCAAAGATTTATTTTGTTCTTGTTGTTGTTTTGTTTTGTGGCTAGGCAATGGGGTTAAGTGACTTGCCCAGGGTCACACAGCTAGTGAGTGTTATGTGTCTGAGGCCGGATTTGAACTCAGGTCCTCCTGACTCCAGGGCTGGTGCTCTATCCACTGCACCACCTAGCTGCCCCTTGTACATACCCTTTGACCCAGTAATACCACTTCTAGGTCTGTATCCCAAAGAGATCATAAAAATGAGAAAAGAACCCACATGTACAAAAATATTTGTAGCAGCTCTTTTTGTGGTGCCAAAGAATTGGAAATTGAGGGAATGCCTATCAATTGGGAAGTGACTGAACACGTTGTCATATAAGAATGCAATAGAATATTATCGTGCTACAAGAAATGATGAGCAGGCAGACTTCAAAGAAACCTGGAAAGACTTACATGAACTGATGCTGAGTGAAGTGAGCAGAACCAGGAGAACATTGCACACAGTAATAGCAACATTTTGTGATGACCGACTTTGATAGACTTAGCTTTTCTCAGCAATGCAAGAATCTAAAATAACTCCAAAAGACTCATGATGTAAAATGGTATCCACATCCAGAGAAAGAACTATGGAATCTGAATACAAATGGAAGCATACTATTTGCTCTCCTTTTCCTTTGTTGTTTTGTTTTATTGCTTCATTCTTGTGGTTCCCCCCATTAGTTCTAATTGTTCTTTATATCATGACTAATGCCAAAATATGCTTAATATGAATGTATAAGTAGAGCCTATATCAAATTGCATGCCATCTTGGGGGGGGGGGAGTGGGAGAGGGAGAAAATTTAAAACTCAAAATATTACGGAAGTGAATGATTGAAATTTTTTTTAAATATAAATTTATGTATTTTTAGTTTTCAATATTCACTTCCACAAGTTTTTGAGTTCCAAATTTCTCACCCCTACCCCCACCCCAAAATGGCATGCATTCTGAATACCCCTTCCCCTGGTCTGCCTTATCTTCTATCTCTCCCCCCTCCATTCTCTTATCCCCTTCCCCTTCTATTTTCCTGTAGAGCAGGATAGACTTCTGTACCCCATTTCCTGTATTTCTTATTTCCCAGTTGCATGTGAAAACATTTTTTTAAAAACATGTGTTTTTAAAACTTTGAGTTCCAAATTTTCTCTGTTCCTCCCTCCCCACCCACCCTCACTGAAAAGTGAATGTTGAAAATTAAAAATTAATTAATAAAAAATTTTGATAGACAGATTGGCTAACATGACAAAAAAGAAAAATGATAAATGTTGGAGAAGATATGGGAAAATTGGAACACTAATGCTTTGTTGGTGTAGTTGTGAACTGATCCAGCCATTCCAGGAAGCAATTTGGAACTATGCCCAAAGGGCAGTCAAACTGTGCATACCCTTTGATCAAACAATACCATTACTAGGTCTGTATCCCAAAGAGACCATAAAAAAGGGAAAAAGGATCTACATGTACAAAAAATTTCATAGCAGCTCTTTTTGTGATGGCAAAGAATTGGAAATTGAGGAGATGCCCATCAATTGAGGAATGGCTGAACAAGTTGTTGTATAAGAATGTAATAGAATATCATTGTGCTATAAGAAATGATGAGCAAGTGGACTTCAGAAAAACCTGGAAAGACTTGCATGGACTGATGCTGAGTGATGTAAGCAGAACCAGAACTGTAACACACAATAACAACAACATTTTGAGATAACCAACTTTGATAGACTTAACTCTTCTCAGCAATGCAAGGATCTAAGACAATTCCAAAAGACTCATGATGGAAAATGCTGTCCACATCCAGAGAAAGAATTATGGAGTCTGAATACAGATCGAAGCATACTATTTTATCTTTTTTGTTTTGTGTTTTCTTTCTCGTGGTTTTTCCCTTTTGTTCTGGTTCTTCTTTCACAACATGACTAATGTG